AATAATAATAATAATAATGGCAACAGCAGCAGCATACACACCAACATCAACAACAACAACGACAACAACAACAAAAGGTGTTTCTTTTTCATTGTTCAGTTGTTGACAGATCTACGAAGCAAATGTGAAAAACGCGTGTTCGTGTTTTTGTTGTAGTAGTTGATGTTGTTGTAGTAGTTGATGTTGTTGTAGTTGTTGTTGTTGCGATCATTGTGCTACCAGCACATTTTGGTTGTATTTATTCTGAGCGCAATGTTTCCTGTATTCTACATCCTGTTGTCATGCTTTTCCTTCTAGTTGACTAACGGTACTTAATTCATGAATGGTAATTAATGGTCATGTTTTTCAAAAGACTTTTGATGATTGATTGATAAGATGGACGCGCATTGACTGTGTCTGTGGACCTGTAGACATTCTGGGTTGTCCTCTGCTGTTGCCTGGACTATGTTCTACTTATAGAAAATACATGTATTATGCTACTGTTTGTATACCTGGACTATGTTATATATATACATTTTATGCTACTGTTTGTATACCTGGACTATGTTTTATATATATATTATACTACTGTCTGTATCTGTCATAACAAATTGCTCACCCGCGACTGTTGTGTGTGACGTAAGCAAGTGGTGTGTGTGTGTGTGTGTGTGTGTGTACACACAGTGATCTCCCTGTATGTGTTCGAGTCTATAGAATTCCAGAGCTAGCCTCTCTATATCTCTCTACCTGTGCAGCATCCAGCGTGTATTTTACCAAATGTACGTATATTACGGAAGGATTTTACCAAATGTACGTATATTACGGAAGGATTTTACCAAATGTACGTATATTACGGAAGGATTTTACCAAATGTACGTATGTTACGGAAGGATTTTACCTAATGTACATATATTACGGAAGGGTTTTACCAAATGTACGTATATTACGGAAGGATTTTACCTAATGTACGTATATTACGGAAGGATTTTACCTAATGTACGTATATTACGGAAGGATTTTACCAAATGTACGTATATTACGGAAGGATTTTACCAAATGTACGTATGTTACGGAAGGATTTTACCTAATGTACATATATTACGGAAGGGTTTTACCAAATGTACGTATATTACGGAAGGATTTTACCTAATGTACGTATATTACGGAAGGATTTTACCAAATGTACGTATATTACGGAAGGATTTTACCTAATGTACGTATATTACGGAAGGGTTTTACCAAATGTACGTATATTACGGAAGGATTTGAGAGCAGCTCCTCTATGTAGAAATATTATTATAATTATAACTATACCTACAGATGTGATCTCCAGTTTGTTGCAGTTTGCAGTCTATTATTATTGAAATCTATTGTCCTATTATTGAAATCTATTGTCCTATTATTGGAATCTATTGTTCTATTGCTGAAATCTATTGTCCTATTATTGGAATCTATTGTCCTATTATTGGAATCTATTGTTCTATTATTGGAATCTATTGTTCTATTGTTCTCTGATAGCTTTGTTGTTGAACATTGGATGATGTTCTATCTTTGTGATTTTAAAGTATTCTTCATTTTTTAAAGGTA